GATGCGGTTTCATGGTCCCGCGCAGGAGAAAGAAGTTTTCTGGGTACTTGATCTTGTATGCGAACAGCAAGCATATCGTCTCGATCGACGTTTGCCTCGATCCACGTAGTCGCCGAGGAAGAGGTAGTTCGCGTCAGGAGGGAACCCGCCGTACTCGAACAACCGCAGGAGGTCGAAGTATTGCCCGTGTGTGTCACCTGTTTGCAGGGGATCGTGTCAGTGAAATCAAGTCAAGATCGGTGGGTTCCGGCGGTTTGGCTTGGCGGGACGCACCGCATATTTGATCGGAGCCTCGAGCTCGAGCAGCATCGGCTGCTCCATGAAGATTTCCCGAGCCCGTTTGCAGAGGTATTGGATTTCTTCTCTGTCAGGTTGACCATTCTTCCCGGCCGGTGGTTCCGGACTATAAAATGATACAAAAGTACAATGAATATTGGTTGTATGTAGGCTAAAGGCAGAGCAGCGAGGCGAGTTGTCCCGGAGGCATCTCACAGTTGCAGCAGCAGCAGCATCATCATCACGGGCCGCAGACTCTCGCCGCACAAATTCAATTTTGAACATCCAAGCACCTTCAACGAGACGGTCGATGATCGAATCGACCATGGAATCCAGGTCGACTTTGGCCGTGTTTCGTTTGAGAAGATTGGCCATCTGACTTCATGCATCAGAGTCAATCACGTAGGCAGCCGTCTTGGACTTACAGCGGTGCAAGAGTTGGACGGGCTACTCGGGATATGGGGAGGAAGAGAAAGAGGAAGAAATCACTCCATGTGCTCGCTTATCAGGCGCTTTTGAATGTGACTCATTTCAATCAACTTGTAACGTGACCTACCACATAGCGATCTCAATTCAATCTCCACGGAAGTACGAGGGAAGAAGAGTAACAAAACGAACAGGAAGAAAAGGCGAGAAGACCATGGCCGAAATCACAACTTGGCCCTGAAAGTGTGTGTTCCCGTCAGGGTTCCCTTCAAACTATCCACTTCTTCGGCTGTGCCCAGCACCTCTCGTCGCCCAAGACAAGTTCGTGGACCCCGTCGACCACCAGCCGCCAGAACTCGTCCATCAACCCGATCTCACCGCCATTTGGAACCGTTCCCGCGTCCCAGTTTAGCCAGATACCGAATCTTCCAGGAAAGTGCGTGTGGAGAGCAAGACACCGCCCGTCCCCGCCTCGATCCACCGACCAGATCCAGCAATTCAATCGCCGGATACCGTTCAGTGCGGAACAGCGCGTCGACCGATCCTTGCTGCGAGAGCCCCATCAGGGCGAGTGAAGGCGCGCCGGCCCCCGTCGCTGGGGATGCAGGTGGGGGGGCTTTCGATCCCTGCGCGATCGCATCGTCGAACCGAGCCCAGCCCTTGGCACGTTCGGCCCGCATTTCGGATGTAGCAAGGGCCCGACCTGGAAGCAGAGGGCTTCTGACATATGCACCCACTTGCCGATGTGCTTCTTTAGCGCGGTGCCAGAACAACACATTGGGTCAGAATGCAGGAAGCCCGAAGACACACGCTCAGATACTCAAGTGCTAAGCCCAAGCGCGGTTGCTGACAAGGCGGGAGGATGTGTTCCAGGTTGACAACAGAGTAGAGCAGCATCGGCAACTCCTTCGGCGCGCATTGTCGGTATTCCGGATGAGCGGCCATGAGTCGAAGCCAGGCAATGTTGCACAGCGCAAAGAAGGCGTTCCCGATGGACACCCCGTGAGCCTTGCATGCTGCACGGATGGCGATCGTCTGCTCGCGGCTGAATTTAGCCTGCAACTGTCGAGTCTGCGTCCGTTGCGCGGGTTTCGGTGGCGTCTTTGCCTGCGGCGCCCGAGGGAAAACGTGGCCTCCCTAGCGAGAATTCAGCTGCAGTGTAGCAACAGCTGGATAGCTCGTACCACATATCGTCTCTGCACATTGTCATGATCAACTCTCAGCGCATGGCGACGGAGTCTTGAAGCCTTTGATACAGACAGCAGAGTCTCTGTCGAGGGCATGATTGCTTCCTTCGGTGCCACATGACCCCATCGATCAATCCACTCCCGACGTAAGAGACTCTCCAGTTCAGCATCGGTCTGCACGGCCAGCAGCTCAAACATGTCGTTGATGAGCTGAAACACAGGGATCGCACCGCCTATCATGTGGTGCGAGCTGAGGAAGAGGTGATACTCAAAGAGCTCCCTCTGCCGACGGACTGACGCGTGATATCCAGTCTGGACAAACGCGACAAGGACAAAAGTCTGGGCCCATTGAGGCAGTCGTCCATGAGCTCATGCCCTAGCTTTTTATCGTGGAGAAATATCGTTTGGGACGCTTGTTCGATCGCAGTGACGTGCGTTGGCGGAGGCATATACCTGTGAGTGATTCAGGGGACATATGCGGTACGAACTTGCATGCTCACACGAAGTGGGCATCGTCATAGTTTCCACGAGGCATTTCCACTGAGCAGGCGAGAAGCGAGTGCCGTTGACGCATGATAGCCCAGACGATCGAGAGGCGCACGGGCGACATCAATGTGGATGTGCACGGAAAGCGATGCTAGCTACGCGAGTCTGTGGTCATCTCCCTGCAAGCAGATGAGGCATGCATCAACCACTGAAGACATCGTTGAGTCCAGTGGCTCGACTCTGCAGGAAGTAGGACCTGGAACCAGTTAGGGGACGCGTCCGAGGTGCTAGCTTGGGCTGACAGTTCATTAGGACTCAGCTCCCTCCGGTATACAAGCTGCGTTCTATCCATGAGGCGGGATCTAGAGGCGAGTTCTCGGCCGTCGGGGTGAGATGCAGTAGACATGAACGCGGAGAGAGGAGTGCAATATCTGAAGCCAGCAGCATAGACGGAAGCTTTTATTCGCCGCTAGCTCCTATCCATACCCCTCTCTTTATTCGAGCGTTGGCTGGGACAAACATCCCCCCTTCTGAAAGCTGCGCATAAGATAAGATTGCGAAAGATTGCGAACTGTGGTCTCTGGTAAGGTCTCATGTTGCACGTGCCGGATCGCGTACAAAAAGTGCTCAAAGCCCGCTGATAGCCGAGCAATCGTCTCGATTCGCTTGTCAAATTTTTATCGATCCTTCGTTTATTGCACCTCAACCTCGCCATGAGCGTCCGTCTTCCCCCGATTCCTTCTGGAAACCACTCCGACTCTGGTTCTTGCTCATCATCGTCCTCCTCTGACGGCGAGGAAGAGACATGGGACGACTGGGTCTCCGAGTCGGGTGCGGGCCCTTGCAAATCCCTTTTCGACGAGACGGTGCTGGAGAGTGCCAAATCTGCTGGAGAGCACGATAAGGTCACACACGGTGTAGACCTCGACGCGCTATGCGCGCGTTTCAGTACGTCCTGTCTTGGAGCTGAGCGCAAGGGATGATGATACCGTGCAGAGCTGGATACTTACCAACGAATTCGTTTCATCAACTACATGAGGAAAACGGTGCGTCTCGCTTGCACCTTTATTCTCTCGTGAAGCTCATCTAGGGTGTATTCATAGAAGCCCAGCCCTGCCGATGTCCTGGCTTTGACCGGATCGGAAGCCTTGTTTACCTCGGACGAGTATCTCCAGCCTGTCATCGAAGATGACCCTCTTCTGCGTGCGTTGCGACTCGTCCACTCAGTCACCTCGCTCAATGAGGCGTAGAAATCGAACCCGAAGACTGGTCTGACTCGGATGCCGAGTCGTCCACAGATCCCGTCAAGCGCATTCGAGCGCTCGAACGGAAGCTGGCCGCCGCACAGCAAGATCTCATCGACTATCGCCAGCTCGTCAGCAAGCAGCTCGATGTGCCAGCCTTGATCGCCGCTGTAAATGAACCTACTGCTGCTGGAAAGGCACCGACGCGGGATGACGATTCGCATTACTTCCAGAGCTATGCCGAGAACGGTATGTATATGTCCATCCTCCTCACCTTTCCGTTCCTCACTTGCCCCAGACATCCACCTCACAATGCTGACTGATCACATACGGACCTCGTCCTATGCCGCCTTCATCCTCACCAACCCTCAACTTTTCCACAACGCCACGGTCCTCGACGTGGGCTGTGGGACCGGCATCCTCTCGCTTTTCGCAGCCCGTGCAGGGGCCAAACGTGTCTTTGCCGTGGATGCCAGCGACGTCGCTGAAAAGGCCGACCGCATCGTTCACGAGAATGGCATGGAGCATATCATCAAGGTGGTGCGCGGAAAGATCGAGGATGTCGTCCTCCCTTTCGATGATGGCGAGGAGCAGAAGGTGGATATCATCGTGTCGGAATGGATGGGTTACGCGCTGCTGTATGAGAGCATGCTCGATTCGGTTTTGGTCGCCAGAGATCGGTTCCTGAAGCCCGGTGGTGTGCTGGCTCCAAGCCAGATGCGGATGATGTTTGCGTTATGTGATGGCAGTGATATAGTTAAGGAGCGGATCAAGTATTGGGACGATGTTTATGGTATGCCTCCATCGGCTGTGCCTTGTCGATACTGACCGTTCTCGCACCTACCCACCACAGGCTTTGATTTGTCCCCGATGGCAGAGCATGTTGCGGATGAGGCCATCGTCGATGTTGTTGGTCCCGAAACCACGTTGAGCGTCCCGTATTGCGTCAAGGCCAGTTCTGCACTCAAAATCTGTCGTATTGCGATGCTCACACCGCATGAAATAGGACCTCTACCTACAAAACATCACACCGCGAAATCTGTCCTTTGTCTCCCCATTCACTCTCACCTGCACCTCCATCCGGCGCACGAAAATCACGTCGTTCATCCTCTACTTCGACACGTTCTTCGCGCCAGACGGTCAGCCCATTTCCGAGAACGAGGAAGTCCGGGTCGTCAAGACCGGTGAGGCCATGGTGACGGACGTGTGGCCTGTTGGCGGTCGCCCTGCTCCAATGCGCCGGGCAAGCTCGCAATTCAGCCCTGATGGTGAACCCAAGCCGCTCAAAATAACAAGTTTCAGCACCGGGCCACAGAGTGTACCGACGCACTGGAAGCAAACGCTCTTCTTGCTGCGTGATCCCATTGTTGCAGAGGAGGGTACGTCAACTTCCCTTGCTTGTGCCTCATTGATAATAATCTAATCTAATCTCTACAGGATCTGTGGTTACCGGCCATTTCCACTGCAAGAAAAGCGACGCAAACTCCCGCGAGCTGGATGTTGAAATCCATTACGCTGTTCGTTCTCCGGATGCCGAACAGCCAGGAGATACAGTCGTCCAGATGTACAAAGTCCGGTAATTTGGCACCAGAGGTATCTGTCACATATGTATCTATGGACCCGATGGTCTCGATTTTCGATCTACTTGGAACTCTGCCCCTGCACCATGATCTATAATGGCCTATTCTCCGCATCTCTCCATCTCATTGATTCGGCTACATGCCGGCTCTATGCATGTCAGAGGCGACATGTGTGATGTACATGACAAAACCAACGTATTCCTCCGGTGCAACATCTAGAACTCGCAGGAACGGTTCTACGAGAACAAAAAAATGCATAATAATTACAATTGCGATGCCAATGCTCGGATTATATAACATATCGATAACCATAACTCCCGCCCTCGACGTCTACTCCCCTCGACTCGATTGCCCGACCTTGCCATCTGCACTAGCTTCAGGTGGGACATCCTCCGATACCGCCATGATCCCCGGCCGTCCAACGCTCAGTGCCAAAGACCACATCAGGATCTCCCACGTATTTTCGATGACTTCCCAGAGCGGGTCGTCATCGATCCCGAGTACAGTCGCATTGCTCCACAGCCCGTGGACATCCATGGCATGCTTTAGCAGTGCCTGCGACGTATACGTCTGTGCGAGCAGCGTAGCCTGCGCCCGAGTGCTGCTTGCCGCATTGACAGTGGCGGACATCGGTCCAGGCGGCAGGAGAGCTTTGGACAGGTTGTCGGCGCGTTTGGTGTAGAGGAATGATAGCAATTGGGGAAAAGTCGACGGCGATGGTAGGCGGAGGGGCTGGACGGGCACCCGCACCCGCGATGGATCTAGTGTTCCGCTCTCAGAGTCGACGACGTGCGCCGGGACAGGCGGCGTCGGTGGTAGTGTGGGGATCCGCGAGCAGTACAGTGCAAGAACGTTGGTATGTGCGGGAAGTAAAACGACTTGCGTCGCCGTCGTCGATGGTGATGTGGATGGCGTCCGATAGACAGCCAACAGCACCGTTGGTGGCGGGTAGTCTGAGCCCTGATCGTTAAGACGTAGGACCATGTCCGGCACTAGGGTCGTTTTGGACATATCTTCAACACTTGCACTAGCAACTGTCCGGAGAAGCCTGCGATAGGGTTCAGCCTCTTGCCTACTTCGCCAAGGAGAGAAACACGAACCCCGGTCCAAGTTCCTTCATCACATCTCGAATATATGCCAACTGCCCTGGCTCAAGAGTCGTGCCTTCCGTTCCCTCACTGGCGAACTCGGGTGCAACGCTGAGCAGCAGTTCCGCATTCACGCCCAGTTCATCTTCCGCTATGTCACGCCGGGCCAAGAATCGTGGCAGATGGAACGACCGTATTTTACTACTAGAAGCGGCCGTTTCCTCAGCGTCGACGTCAGCAGGCCCTGGAGGTAAGTCGAACTCCAACATAGCCGGCTTCGTTCTGTTCTTCTTCTTCGCCTTTCCGTCTTTGCCCGCCGCATCCTTTGCTGCCTTCCGTGTCGCCTTCCTCTCCCTCGCCGCCTTGACCCGCTTCGCTCTTTCCGGATCCCGATCCCGGAGACCCGCCCGCAGTCGGTCGTGAAATGACGAGGAGGAGTACTGATGAGATTTGGTGAAGGTGGTCGATGGTTTCTGTGCGGAGGATGACGCAGGGAACGGGGCAGCATTCTCGCGCGCGTGCCGCGTTTGTCTCGGTTGCAATGCGGGAGGCATCTTGTGCGTCGGTGGGGAGGGTTCAGATGTGGTGAGTGGGCGGAAAGAACAGAGGAACTTGTTGGACAAGCGTTCGCCAACGCAAGCACATAATAAGGATCGTGACCGGAACGGGGGTTGCTCAAAAGTGCGCGCAGGGAACCAATCCTCCCGCCAGAGCCAATCCAAAAGTTGCCATTTTGGAAAAGTTGCTACATTTGGACATGCCTTTGTGTGGTGTTGCTATGATGGTTGATCGGAGTTCTCCGATGTGCGAAGCATTGAAGTTCGGGAGGAAGGGCAAGGGGGTCGCAACTCTTGAAAGGTGTCCGTAACCGACGGGATTAAATCTAAATGGGAGATCAACGCTCCACCGCTGATCTTATTTCATGACACCGTCTTGACTGAGGGAATAGTCGGTCTCTCAAATTTCATGATAAACTGATCTAGTGCCTATCTTCCTCGAAATGTTGCCAGAATTGTGCGACCAATGAGAAGCCAGAACAGAAAGATCTCCTTGGAGACTCTTGAATGAGGTCAAATGACTGGTCTCTGAATTGCTGTCTCAATAATGAAAATTCCTCTAAATACTAATGGAATGGATCGTGTATAGAAGCGTAGGAGACGCAGCGACATGGCTGCAATTACTTGAGAGAGCGTATCCTATCAAAGACAGCGGACGAAACATTTTGCACGGTGCAAGAGAAGAAAGCTATTCCATCAAGATCAGTCATACCATCGAAGGAATCTGACAGACCAAGTTAAACACACCGTTGATTCACTCCACATCGTCGTGACTACTATGGCTTTCTTCTCTCAACCGAGCCATCCTCTCCCCATCAGTGCGCTCCTTGACCTCGATCGCGTAGGCGTTTACGCAAGATTTGCACATCCCGCCTCCGGTAGGAGCACCCATGCACCAATCACTCCGCACGGCGTAGTGCGCAAACTGCTCGTGCAAG